CCTCCTCCTCCTCCTCCTCCTCCTACCTCCCACCTCCTCCCTCCTCCCTCCTCCCTCCTCCCTCCTGCCTCCTCCCTCCTGCCTCCTGCTTCCTGCCCCCTGCCTCCTGCCTCCAACCTCCTGCTCCTGCTCCTGCTCCTGTTCCTCCCTCCTCCTCCCTCCTCCTCCTCCTCGTCCTCCTCCTCCTCGTCCTTCCATTTCCCTCCTCCTCCCTCCTCCTCCTCCTCCTCCTCCTCCTCCTCCTCCTCCTCCTCCGCCTCCTCCGCCTCTCCTCCTCCCTCCTCCTCCTCCTCCTCCTCCATCCTCCTCCTCCCTCCTCCTGCCTCCTCCTTCCTCCTCCTCCTCCTCCTCCTCCTCCTCCTCCTCCTCCGTCCTCCTCCCCTCCTCCTCCTCCTCCTCTCCTCCCCTCCTCTGCTCCTCCTCCTCATCCTCAGCCCTCTGCCTCTGCCTTCCGCCTCCTCCTCCTCCTCACTTCCTTCTCCTCCTCCCTCCTCCCTCCTCCCTCCTCCCTCCCTCCCATCCTCCCTCCTTCCCTCCTTCTCCCTCCTCCTCCCCTCTCCTCCCCTCCTCCTCCCTCCTCTTCCAATCCTCCTCCCTCCTCCCTCCTCGTCTCCTCCTCCGCCTCCTCCTCATCCTGCTCTCTGCTCCTGCTCCTCCTCCTGCTCCTCTCCTCCTCCTCCTCCTCCTCTCCTCCTCCTCCTCCCTCCCTCTTCTTCTTCCTCCTCCTCCTCCTCCTCCTCCTCCTCCTCCTCCTCCTCCTCCTCCGCCTCCTCCTCCTCCTCCTCCTCATCCCCCTCGTCCGCCTCCTCCTCCTCCTCCTCCTCCTCCTCCTCCTCCACTCGCGAAGCAGAGCGCTGCCCCGGCGGGCGGCAGCGAGAGTCAGCGAGCGTGCGGTGCGGCGGGGGGACCAGGCTGGCTGTCCGCTCGGGGCACGGCACTGCTCGAGCCGAGGACGGTTGGCGACGGCACGAGGGCGCGCTGGAAGGCTCTGCGGCCCGGCGTGAACCAGCCTCGAGCCCAACCCGACCGCTGCAATTGTCCGAATCTCGACATGCAAGGGTACGCAGAAGGCATCTATACACCACCACCGTGTCTGGCCAGGGCATTCCTGGGCCAACGCATGGTGTGCACGCCTCCTGACCGAGGCAAGGAGGGTCTGTACACCATCAGGGGGCCCAGGATGGCCCTCGCTGGTGGCGGCGGTGGCATGTATAGATGCACTCTGCGGACAGGACCCTGCTTCCCGGCGGCTCTGTCCTGAATCGTCTCGCTGCCCTCCTTCCCTTCCCCGCCTGCCCCCCATCCTCCCATGATCTTCCTTCTCCTCTTGCAGGCCCCCCTCCGCCAGATGCTGCAAAGCCTCATGCGTCGGGAACAAAAGCCCTTGCTCTTACGACGGCAGTGCGAAGGGAAGATGCCTGCGGAGGGGGACGAGCACCCTCAACGAGAGAGCAGACACGACACCGAGCTGACTCGCAAGCCGACTCCGTCCACACGCACACACACACACACACCCGCACACACACACACACACACACACACACACCCGCACACACACACACACACACACACACACACACACACACACACACACACCACACACACAATACATAGGGAAACGAAACGCTGACTCGCACAGGAGGGCCAAGACGAGGGCCTCCCAGGAGGCCGCAGAGGGGGTAAACGGGGGAAGGGCAGTGCAAGACGGTGCAAGAGGCCCCAAGGACGACCCAAGGGGTCCTCAAAAGAGCCCCGAGGCGGTTCCGAGGGGCCCCCGAGACGGCCTCCGCAAAGGTCAGACGGCACAAAAGGCCCCAAAGAGGCCCCCAAGAAGAGCTCCCACAAAGGCCCTTCAACGACTTGACTGTGCATGCTGCGGACTTGCACCCCGCGAAGCGAGAAAGATCCATCGGCGGTGGACAAACCCCCCTTTAGTAAACCTCCCTTTAGGGAAAACGGCCTGGGACCGAAACCGACGGACCTAGACCCGCAAAAATGACGGCCGCGACGCCCTCTCGCGAACCTAAAACAGCCAATTCACTAATCGACGTGTCAGGGTAGGAGGTCTATCCTCCTCCGAATCCACGTCCGGAGGGAACGCGCTGCTGGAAGCAGGCCCGCGGAGGCTGCAATGCCACAGATCCCGTGCGCCCCATCCACCACCGTGCTCCCTGGCACTCTGCGGCGTGGAAGCATACAGTCGGGGCCTTGACCTAAGGAACCCCAAATAAGGAACGGGGCTCCCTTTTTTCCATAAATTAAACTTCGACTTCCGATCGCAAACGTAAGGAACGCCTGAGGCAAGCTGCGAAGCACTTCAGGAACGCGGAGCCCCTCCCCAACGAAAAGGGTTCCTTCTTCAGGGCCCCGACTGTACCAAGGTCTGCCCGGTATCAGGAGGACGTAAGACCTGGGTACAGGGGACTCGGAAATCCCCGACGAGATCGTCAACAAAAATGACGAGGCCGAGCCTGCATTTTGACGAGGCCTCCCGCTGCAGACATCCCACGAAACTCCTCCTCGTCAAAATCCGAGGCGCGGTCGTCAAAAAACGATGGCGAACCCGAGTCCTGGCAAATCCAGGTCTTACGCTCCCCCGACACTTAAGGAACGCGGAGCCCCTCCCCGACGAAAAGGGTTCCTTCTTCAGGGCCCCGACTGTACCAAGGTCTGCCCGGTAGGGTCATTTCTGAATTCTGAGAGGGGACGGCCCCTCCTCCACCGGGAGCCTCCCGCTTGCATAGCTCCACCTCTCCGAGGCCCCTCGCGCAGCTCCCGCTCGCAGGCAGTGCGCTTCCGGCATGGCAGCGGATGCGGAATCCACCATGCCAGGCGTGCCCGCTCGAGGACGGTGTACTTCCCGCGTGGCAACTCATGCCTCAACCCTCCTTCCATGCGCGCCCGCTGGGGGATTGTGCACTTGCCGCATGGCAGCTAATGCCCGAATCCACCTTCCACGCGTATCCGCTCGAGGATGGTGCATGTCCTGGATGGCACCCGATGCCCGACTACTCATTCCATGCCTGAACCCCATGGCTCAAGCTTGTCGGCCCGGGTGGCTGCCTCATGAGTAGGCGGCAAGAAGCGCTAGCGGCAGGACGAGGTGCTTACAGAATCCCCCAGACCTCGCCCTCGGCAGCAAAACACGTGGTGAGCGTGCAGGCTTCGTGCAATTTTCACCTGTCGTTGCTCCGTGCGCGCCCGCTCGAGGATTGCGCTCTTCCCGCATGGCTGCTGCCTTCGAGATCCGTGGCCCCACGCGCACCCGCGCGAGGAGCGTGCGCGTCCCGGCATTCCACAGGCGCTGATCCCAAGCGCCTCAGAGCATCCCAAGCCACGATCCCTCGTCAAGAGCGATGGATGTGGGCCCCGAGCTTCCAAGACGGCCCGCGCAGGCAACCAAGGACACCAAGATGGCCCAAGATGCCTCGAAGACGGCCCAAGATGGCCCCCATGGGGCCGAAGATTGCCTCGCGACTGCCCAAGATGCCTCCAAGAGGGCCCACAAGGGCAACACCAGGACCTCCAACAGGGTCCGAAGAAGCCCAAATCATTGATCCCATCTTACTTGTTTGCATGATTTGGGCATTCTCGCGTTTCCGGGCTACCGTCAGCTCAAGACGGCCAAGGGGTACTCCACGATGACCTAAGAGGCATCCAAGACGGCCCCAAGAAGGCCTCGCGTGGGACCCAAGACGGCCTTAGAAGGCCAATGGACGGCCCAAGACGGCGCCAAGACGGACCCAGACACCCGCCTTACGACCACGAGGGCCCCAAGACGGCCCGAGACAACCCCAAGCAGGCGTAAGAGGGCCGCAAGACGGCTCAAGAGAACCCCAAGGGACCCCCAAGACTGCCTCACGAGGCAAAGGCAGCCCCAAGACGGCCCAAGTGAATTTCATCATCATACTTCTTTATCATCATCGTCATCATCATCATCATCATCATCATCATTACCATCACCAACCACCACCTCCATACTCATCAGCATCAGCATCATTATCAGCAACATCATCATGAAAAACATCATCATCCTCATCCTCATCCTCATCCTCCTCAGCATCATCATCAGCATGATTATCAACCTCATCATCATCGCCATCATCACCATCATCGCCAGCATCATAATCAACATCAGCATCCTTATCGTCATCATTATAAGCAGCATCAGCACAATGAACATCATCATCATCACCATCACCATCATCATCATCATCATCATCATCATCATTATCATCGTCATACTCATCATCAGCATCATCATCGACATCATCAGCATCATCCTTACCATCGTCACCACCACCATCATCATCGTCATCATCATCATCATCAATACCATCACCTGTATCATCACCGGCATCATCAACAATAGTATCATCATCCCGTCCTCACCATCATCATCACCATCACCATCACCGTCGCCATTCATATCACAATCATCATCGTGATCGTCATCACCATCAACATCGTCGTCATCATCATCACCATTGTCAGCATCATCATCATCATCATAATCAGCATCATCACCATCACCAGTAAACCTCATCTCAGTCAGCAATATCATAATCAGCATCATCATCATCAGACTCATTATCATCATCAGCAGCATCATCATAAACAAAAACATCAATATCATCATCGCCATCACGATCACCATCAGCGATGATGCTCATCATCGGCATCACCCCCATCATCCCCATAACCCTCTCTACGACTCTTCCAAGTCTGGAGGCAAGAGGTGTCACACGTGACGGCCTCACCCGCCCCCACGAACAATCGCCACCCAGGAGGATAGGCTGGCACGGTGGAGGGACTTGCCGAAGGCAACTGAATCTTACAAATATACAGAGCCATCGCGCGCGAACTCCAACCGTGTCCCCTTCCTTTTTGGAGCTGCCTTGGGGCTGTCTTGCAGGCTTCATGGGGCATCTCAGCCTCAGGATGTGCATGGGCACCTCGGCCTTGGAACATACATGCGCACCTCGGCTGTTTTGCAGGCTTCATGGGGCACCTCGGCCTCAGAATTCGCATGGGCACCTCGACCTTGGAACATGCATGGGCATCTCGGCCTGGGCATTGGCATGGGTACATAAGTACTCAATGTACATGGTCACCTTGTCCTCTGAATTTCCACTGGTACCCAAGCCTCGAAATGTGCATGGACACCTAGGCCTTGCAATTTGCGCAAGCTCCGCGGAGACCCAGGGGGGCGCAGGGGTCGTGTATCCTTCTCTTCCTCCTCCGCCTCCTCCTCCTCCTCCTCCCCACCCTCCTCATCCCCCTCCTTCTCCTCCTCTCCCTTCTCCTCGCGAGGATGAGCAGGATGAGGAAGCTGAGGCAGCGCGCTGCAAACGACGCTGCAACAACGCCATGCTCTCTGGGACCGAGAGAGCGACGGGAGGGAGGAGGAAGGAGGAAACGAGAGAATGGGATGGAAGCGACGTCACATGTTCCTGGGGAAGCTTCCGAAACGGTGGCGTCATCGTTTCGAGGCGTGCAACAAAAATCTTGTAGCGTCTTCGGGGGCCACTTAGGAGGCTCTTGGGATCCACTTGGGCGTCTATCGGGGGCCTTTTGGGGGCCTCCTGGGGGCCTTTCACTATTCAATACGCACTACTCACTAAACACAACTCGATACCCACTACTCACAAATAGAATCACTACTCACTACCCACTAACTACGATCTATTACTCACTACTCACACCTCGCTACTCACTACTCACTGCCCACAACTCACTACTCACTATCCAGTGCTCGCTACTCGCTACTCCCTACACAATACTCGCTAATCACTACTCACTACTCGCTACTCCCTACGCCCTGCTCGCTACCCAATACGCACTACTCCCTACTCGCTACTCACTACCCAATACGACTATGACTACGACTACTACTACTACTACTACGACTACGACTACTACTACTACTACTACTACTGCTACTACTACTCATATTACTACTACTACTACTACTCGTACTACTACTACTACTACTACTACTACTACTACTACTACCACTACTATTACTACTACGACTACTACTACTACTACTACGACTACTCCGACTTCTACTACTGCCGCGGCGATTTTTATTACTACGGCCACGACTACGACTACGACTGCGACTGCGACTACGACTGCGACTAGTACTACTACTACTACTACTACTACTACTACTACGACTACGACTACTACTACTACTACTACTACTACTAATACTACTACTACTACTACTACTACTACTA